GCCCATGTTAGGCTACTACTTGTTGGCCGGAGGCCATTTTGTGTTGGATTGTTGTATGTTAAAAGCATGCTGGCAGTTGGGATATATATTGATGTAAATTATGCAGGTTGTTTAATGTTGGTTTGGGCATTTTACAGGGGAGACTCTGCCAAAATTTTGGTAGGATGTCTTGGGTTTTAGTAAGTGGGCCCGGCATCAATGTGATGTCGGCACCAAGACGGGATCCGCCTCGGGTTCAGGGGAAATTCTGGGGCGGGTTCTGTCATACTAGCTACACAGTTCTAGAGTGGGCAATGACCGAACTCTTAAGGCATCCGAGAGTCTTGAAAAAACTGCAAGATGAGATGATAGGAATTGCTAATGGCAAAACAGACATAACCGAGGGCGATTTAGATAAATTTCCTTAGGGTTTAGGAAACACTTCGGTTGTATCCTCCAATACCGTTACTGGTTCCTCGCGAATCAACTCAAGAGGCTAAAATAAAGGGCTATGACATAGCAGCAAGAACCATGGTCCTGTTCAATGCTTGGACAATTGGAAGAGACCCCTCAATGTGGGATGAACCAGAGGAGTTTAAACCAGAGAGGTTTTTGAACTCTTCTGTAGATTTCAAAGGGCATGACTTCCAATTAATCCCATTTGGAGCTGGAAGAAGGGGCTGTCCAGGATCCTTGTTTGCCATGATCGCTAATGAGATTGTGTTAGCAAATCTTGTGCACAAGTTTGACTGGACATTGCCTGGTGGAGCAAGAGCTGAGGATATAATCATGACAGAATGTACTGGCCTTGTCATACACAGAATAGCTCCTCTTGTAGCTATGGCAGCGCCAAGGTTTTCTGAGAATTCATGCTTTCCCATTTTATGATTGTGAAGGCCTTTCTGCAGTGTCACCTCAAAGTTTCATAACAGAAGCCCAAGGAAGCATAAGATCATGAAATTCTGAGTCATGCTTAGCCCGAGATATAAAATGATTCTTTATATTGTTCCTTGATAAAATAAAATTAAATTAAATTATAGGAATTTAGACTGTCATCCTTAGATAAGATGTATTTTCCATTAAACTTGGATGTTAGATTGGATTTTGATTTTAAAGTCTTTTGGATCTACACGAAAACAAATTTCTACCTTAAATTTTCCTATGTACAAGATAGAAACTTAAATGAGGCACGGAACTCTATGCGTTTATAATGTACAAGATAGAAACTTAAGTCAAAAGCCAAACACCCTATGCTTTCCAAAGTCATCTAAATTTTTTTGTTGTCTTCTGCCCAAGTGGATGAACTCGTGTGGACTAACTCATCCCTATAATAAGAAGAAGAAGAAGATAACACAGATAACAAATTGAAACAAACAAACTCGTCCATAAACTTTTATGTGGCTCTCCTCTTACAAATGGACCAACAGAATGCTCACACACAAATTTGTGAGGCGGTGGTTTCAACTTTTAAATACATTGGATAGTCCTATGATGATCTTTGCCTTTATTTAAACACACCCAACACATTCGTTTCTTAGTACCAACTCTGAAGATGCTAAATCCCTTGCAAGTATTGCAAGAGCTAAATGAAAGCTCCTCCTTTTTGCAACCTTTGGCCTTCACACTGCTGGCCATTTTCCTCGTCCTCCTATACACATGGTACTCTTCGACTAAAACCACCACCCAAAA